GTTTGGAACTTGATTTTAAATTTTAAAAATTTTCAGTTCCATTTTTTTGGTGATGTGAGACAAATTTGTACTGGTAAATAATTTCAAGACACAAGTTAATTCTTGTTGCTTGAAGAATGACAAGTTATACTGTGTGTCCATAACTTTAATATTTATCCACCTTATTAATTAAAAAGACCTTCATAAGATAAATACTAGTGATTTGTAGTAAAATGGAGACTAACACTCCAGTGTATGATTTGACATTTGTAGCTCAAAGGATGTCCTGATGTTCATCATCACATTTCCATTGGTTATTTGCATACTCATAAATCCCATATTTCATACCTCCATCTTAAATACAGTGTTCTTCACACTCTCCCTATCTTTAGAAGTGAGAAAAAACTTAAACATTATTCTCCCAAATGCCACAAATGTTTAGCTGGTGTAGTTTTTATTCTATTCAAATAAGAGAGGCTTAATGATATATTGAAACCCTGTATCATATCAGGAATAACATACATGTAAGCAATATTAGACTCATTAACTTAAGAATAAGTTATACATGAAAAACTACACTTGGAGTAAGAACATGCTAAGATTGTTCTTGATCATGTTTTATTATATATCTGTTTTATGGTTAACGATAGACTAAAAGAATTTAAAGAAAATTAGTGATTTCATTGTGTTTTACAGTGTATTGATACATAGAAGTCATGTTTATATTTGTGGTTATAAAATATATATATATATATTTAATACCTCTAGTGACAAGAAAAGCTGCTTCCCCAGAAGAAAGATCTTCATTTACAGTCTTTGATTTTAAGATAAAAAAAGAAAAGTATGATGAAGAACTAATGGAAGCTGAGGTAATTTGTATATTAAAAACTTATCATTCTGTCAGTATGGATAACTACAGTGATATTTGTTTGAGAAAACATTTATGGAACTTTTTAACAAGGATGAATACTATTCAAAAAACTGTGAAATTATTGTGTATTTCTGAAGATTTCTGGCATTTTAATGTTTTTGATAACTGGACAGCACTTTTAATTTTTATTTATTACATATTATTGAGTGTTAAGAACACTGTTAAAAATAATTCTTCCCATCCCACCTTACATCACTTGTTACTTTATAATCTATTGAATTTATTTCTTAATATTATTGCATGTTGAGACTAATTATATTATTTGCTTTTATAATTTCAAGCCTTAGTAATAATCCTATAAATTATGTCTAGCTAACATTCATATGTCACTTGTCTGACCTCACACTATAACAGTTGTCATAATTGTCTGTTAATTTTTAGTTTTCATCTCTTATTGATTTTCTAAGTATGCTCTTAAAAATAATTCTTCCCATCCCACCTTCCACCACTTGTTAATTTATAATCTAATAAGACTCAAATTATTTTCTTTATTTAGTGAGTCTCTAGCCTTGATTACAAACATTCTCACATTATAACATTCATGTGTCACTTCTCTGACCTCATATTTAGTGAGTCTCTAGCCTTGATTACAAACATTCTCACATTATAACATTCATGTGTCACTTCTCTGACCTCATATTTAGTGAGTC